TAAAAGTTTACATAAATCACCGTATCTCATGAGATCGCTGTTTTTAAAAAGCTGTAGTGATGTGCATTGAAGCGCTCTGACCTGAGACCTGCAGCTGCAGTGTGTTAGAGGCCAGACAGATGATAGGACGGATGAGACACAGCTTTGGCTCTCTTTTCTGGCTCAGACAAACTCCATTCTCATTCACAACCATCCACAAACGGTCATACAACAAGCCCTGGGGTCCCAGTGGCCACTCTGTCACCTGTTAGGTCAATCACAACAACAGAGCACTTGCCATGAAAACTGATATCATTACATCAACCTGCTTTCATTGTCAACACAGAAGGATAACAAAACAGCTTTCTCTACCTCAACTGATGCGCATGATTTGACAGGATAGATGAAGAGATTGGTTAGTGTATGGCTACTGCCATTGTTCTTTTCTTCTTTTGACACAGTGTCTTCAGATGGTGCTATTCTCTCAGGTGAAGGAGTGATAGTTTGCCCATTCTGATGCCCTAGTTGGCCATTTGGTATTGATGCTAGGTCATAAGATGCTGCTGACTCCATCGGTTCAGCTGATTTGAGCTTGGTTAGTCTCTTTTGGTCCAAAATGAGAGGTTTGTCCACAAAACAGTTCACAACAAACCGAAGAAAGTTCTGACAGTCCTCAAAACTTGACATGTATCCAAAAGACACACGGATGGATCCTGTGGGACGTCCCTCAATCAGATCAATGTTGTCTCCACAGATGTGACCAGCCTTGAAAGGAACCGTTTATTAAAAATTAGTTTAAAAATTCTGTTATTTCTTTCTTTCAATTTCCGTCTGTCTGTCCAATTATCTATCTGTCCTTTTCGTCATCTATCTATCCATCCATCCATCCATCCATCTATCTATCTATCTATCTATCTATCTATCTATCTATCTATCCATCCGTCTGTCTATCCATCTATCTATCTATCTATCTATCCGTCCGTCCGTTCGTCTATCCGTCTTATCTATCTATCTATCTATCTATCTATCTATCTGTCTGTCTGTCTGTCTGTCTGTCTGTCTGTCTGTCTGTC